AAAAAAAAAAAAAAGCTCAGGGACAGCACACAGGCATGACTACTTACCAGGCCTGGAAAGATTTATATACTTAGGAAAATACTAAAACTCTAGACATTTCAAAAAAGTTCATATTCTCAAAGTTGTAGGCAACTACAGAATATCTAAATTATGCCTTTAATTTGATTGTGTGTGTGTGTGTGTGTGTGTGTGTGTGTGCATGCAAATATATTCACACACATGTTCCAGTATGGGAACTGAACCTAAGATCCTGCTTGGCTTTTTTATTCACAGTTGGCACTCTGTTACTTGAGTCACATCTATCAAAGCTGTTTAATGACAGGTGTGCATCATCAAACCAATTTTTTTCAGTTGATTCAGAGTCTCAAAGACATTTCTTTCTGGGCTATCCTGTAACTATGATCTTCCCAACCTTAGTCTCCCAAGTAACTATGATGATAGATGCCATTATTACAACCAGTGATGATGATTGAGAAGGGAGTCTTGTGAATTTTTCTGTCCAAACTGGCTTCAAACTTTGAACCCTCTGAGCTAAATCCCTGAAGTAGCTAGGATTACCTGCATTAACCATTTGCATCCAGGTCGTGCCAATTATTTTTCCCCCAAAGTCTCAGATATCCTATTTGTTGACTGTAAAACAAAGCTACTATGAAGTTATACATTCAGAATGCTTACTGAACAGTCTCCAAGAGTTGTATTTAGTCAAGGTAGCACTTACCATGAACTTTGTATCCCCCTTTGACAGAGTGTCAGTAATAAAATGCATCTTTTGCAACTGTTCCACAACACGATGTAACAACTTGGGCTGCATAATTATAATCAAGAAAAAAGAAAAAAACAAATACTCTATTACAGCAAGAAAAAAATGGGGGAAGGGGAATTGAACCCAAGGCCATATATATCATAAAACATTCTATGTAATGACCTTTCTCTTTTAAGTAAAGTCCATCTTACAATTTTTCCAGAAACAAGTATTACATCAATAACATGATACCCAAAACAAGAATAATTTTAGGGGCCAAAAGGGAACCTTACTGTATTGCTGGTGGGAGTGTAAACTTGTTCAACCACTTTGGAAAGCAGTATGGAGGTTCCTCAAAAGACTATACAGAGAGCTCCCCTATGACCCAGCAATCCCACTTTTGGGCATTTACCCAAATGATCACAAATAAGACCACACTAAAGCTACTAGCACAACTATGTTTATTGCAGCATTATTTACCATAGTTAAGATGTTAAGATATGGAACCATCCCAGATGCCCCTCGTAGATGAATGGATCAAGAAAATGTGATATATACATATATATTATACACACACACACACACACACACACACACACACA